AAATGGCTGGTTTGGAGGGTGGAGTCTATGGCATTCTACCTGTCTGAGGTCCCACCCCTCCGCAAACCCCACCCTCTCCAGGCTCCACCCCTCAAATCCCCAGGAATTTGCCAGCCTGGAGTTGGCAACCCCATCTCCTTCCCAGCTAGCCACCAACCTACCATTATCTGCCCCTTTGACTTCAGCTGACTTCCGCCCTCCCTTCTGCAGAGCAATTGTAATTTTGAGCGGTCTCCAGCCCTCACCTGGAGATTGGCAACAATGGTTCCCCATGAGGGACTGAGTGGTTTGGAGGGTGGAGTCTATGGCATTGTACCTGTCTGAGGTCCCACCCCTCCTCAAACCTCACCCTCTTCAGGCTCCATCCCTCAAATCTCCAGGAATTTCCCATCGGGAGTTGGCAACCCTATCAGGATTGGCCCCAATATGTTTTCTCCCAAAGGCCAAAGTAGGTGACTGGACCAAACTAAGTTGCCTACCATCAGGCACTGAGGGGAAAGTAGGGTTGCCAGCTATAAGGAGGGAAATATCTGGAGTTTTGGGGGGTGGATTCTGTAGAGGGCAGCATGGGGGGGGGCGGAAGGACTCAGCAGGTATAATGTCATAAGGTCTACCCTCCAAAGCAGGCATTTTCTCCAGGGGAAACTGATCTCTGTCATCTGGAGATCAATTGTAGCAGTGGGAGATCTCCAGGTCCCACCTGGAGATTGGCAACCCTAGGGGAAAGTCAGCTGCACAGCAGGGGGTTGAAGAGAATGGTTTGATGGGTGCTGGGCCAAGATTGGCAACAATAGTTCCCCAGGAGCAAATAGCTGGGTTGGAGGGTGGAGTCTATGGCACTGTAACCTGTCTGAGGTCCCCCTCTCCGGCCTCCACTCCTCAAATCTCCAGGAATTTCCATACCTAAAGCTGGCAACTTTATTTCCTCCCCTCTCAGTAGCCTCTTATTTTGCCTTAAATTGGTTTTGATGTCAGCAGAGTGAGAAAATGCCAGAGGCTCTGGGTGGGTGCCCCATCGTAAATGCACCAAACAATTCCTAAAGATTTGCCAAAACACTACTCTGTCAATAAATTGCAGCACTTTGAAGTAGCACCAGAGCTTTAAGAGCTCTCCAGCTGTCACCTGGAGACTGGCAACAGCTTGTTTGGAGGGTGGGGAGTATGGCATTGTATCTGTCTGAGGTCCCCCTCTTCCTCCTCCTCCTCCTCAGACCCCACCCTCAGCAGGCTTCATCCCCAAAATATCCTGGAAGTTTCCAACCTGGAGTTGGCAACCCTATGTCCCCCCCAGCCTCTGCCTAGAGAAAGGGCAGTCTTTCCCTGCAGTGGGAACCAAAGCAGCTGTCATCATTCTCCTCTCCCCCTATGAGGTATGTTAAGGTTGAAAGTGTGTGAATGGTCCATAATCCCCCAGGCAGCTTTTAAAACATGATCCTGGGACCTACACACCACCAGACATTCCAACTGCCTTGCGGGGGGGGGAGTATGAGGTGTGGAATGGAGTGAAGTCCAATCAGCTTCCATATGCAAAAGACCTTGAAGGTTCCATATGCAACTGACATTCCAACTGCCTTGCGGGGAGGGGGGTGAGTTTGAGGTGTGGAATGCAGTGAAGTCCAATCAGCTTCCATATGCAAAAGACCTTGAAACGCTGGGCGGGACTGCACAAAGCAGCCAGTCAACCCAGCCAGCGTCTTCTGACTGACAGTTCAAGCGTCCATACACTAAAGGAGTGCATTTTAGAACTTTGGCAGCCACTATTCAATTATATATAAGGAGAGATAACCTTGTTGTTGAGGAATGCACTTATAATCCCTGAGAAAGACAAGCCTTTTTTCTCTGCCTATATTGCTGCACAAATTGCTCTGCAGACTACACAAGTTTTTTTTCCTTGTGGCACATTCTGTCCATCCTTTCTTTAGCCACATCACACCTCTTTTCACTGCCTTCGTTACTATCGTGCAGATCTGCTTATTCTCACTCCTGCTGACAAATTAATACGTTGATCATCTGCTTTCCTGCATTGTAGCAGTAGCCTCCCACTTTTCTGAGTGGCAAACACCACTCTTGTACCTTGCACCTCTAAGTGGAGAGGAGAGTCTCTATAGAAATTGCAGCAAGGTTTGGACCCTGCTGCTTGTACTATTGAATGTTTTTGGCAACTGATTAAAAAAAAAAAAAACCCTCTCTGATCTTTTCCTTGTCGGATTACTAAGCATGCTATAAAAGACAGGTATAACTCCTTGTTTTATTTTTGGCACTTACATGGTGCTTCATTTATGATAGGGTTCTAATTTATACCCTCTCCATGCATGAAATTTCAAAAGGCGATGTCCTGCTGGAATCCCCTACCAAGGGTTGTCTCTCACTCCTCATGTAATTCATGGTCAGCGTCCTCACACAATCCATTCTTGTGGGTCAGTTGACGCTATCACACTGTGTTTGAGTGCACAGCCTTTCATTACCACTCTGTGTATGATGGCTCTTTTCAAAAGAGTGCTCTTTTTTTCTTTACCACATTCCCACTTGTATTTTGGTGGGGCACTTGCACAGAGCTTACTGCTCTGATATAGGAGAGTTCTGGGTGAAGGTCAATTTGTGCCGCTAAACAACTGTTGATAAACCAGTCCTCAGTGGTCTCCTTCTGAGAGCTTCACACCCACCTCCTTCACTCAGTGATCTTGCTAATTTTCCCATGTGGGACTACACAGAAGCCATGACGATGAAAACAAGGTTGCACTTACCTGTAACTGTTGTTCACTGAATGGTCTTCTGTGCAGGCACACATCCCTCCCTCCTGCCCCGCTGTGAACTCTCTGGAACTTTAGTTTTCTAGGGGTCTCCAGCGGCGGCATGGAGAAAACTGAGGGAGTAGTGCCCCTTCTCCTGGTCACGTGAGTGTTTTGGCAGGAAAGCGTCAGAGGGAGGAAGGGCGCTCCTAGTCTATTAGAAAGCTTGGAAATCTTTTCCGTGGCTGGCCTGCGACTGCGCAGTCCCATGTGTGCCTGCACAGAAGACCATTCGATGAACAACAGTTACAGGTAAGTGCAACCTTATTGAATTGAACCTGGGCACTTCTGCATGCAAAGCATGTTTTCTGCCACTGACTTAATGGCCATTTGCAGTTTCTCCAAACAGTTTATCTTACTGTGTGTTGTCTCACCAATTCCTTAATTCAGCACAGCAGTTTAGTATTGAGTGTGTTGTAAAACAAAATAAATTAATTGTATTAATCCCTTGGGCGTGGCTGTAGTGCAGTAGTACTTCAGGTATGACTGGTTGTTGTTTCAATATAATTTTTCTAAATTTTGGGCCAAAGTAGCCATTGAAGATCAATGATATTTTTAAAAGGGCTAAATGCAGCCAAGGGGCATCCCATTCCGATCTGGACTGCAGCACTGGTGTGTGAGAAAGTTTTCCTCCCTGTCATTTTCCCAGTGCAGACTCTAACTTGGGTCATTCACTTCACTCAGATATGCTATTCACCTCACAGAAGAAGAAAAATCAGTACAAATAGCAGCTCTATGAGTCAGAGGATTTTTAATCTGCTACCCCATCTGAGTTGGGCTCCTCTGCAGCTGCTTTTAGACTTAAAAAAAAATCACAATGCTCTCACATATCTCCTGGGTCATGTCTACTTTAGCCTGAACAGAAAGGTCCACAGGTATGCAGCTCTTACTTGGAATGAGGATTCTGATCATACCCAGCATAATTTCCATCCTCTGATAACTAGATCTGCATTTGTTGTTGTTGTTCAGCCGCACAGTTGAGTCCGACTCTTTGCGACCCCATGGACCACATCACACCAGGCACTCCTGTCTTCCACCGTCCTCCAGAGTTTGCTCAGTTTCATGTTCGTTGCATTGATAACATTGTCCAACCATCTCATCCTTTGCTGTAAAATCCCTTCCATAGATGCTTTGAAAAGAAAAAGAGTGTTAGCCTATTTCACTTCCAAAACTAGTTTTCATTTTCTCATTTAAGAAGCACTTAGGGTTGCTTTTCGCATTACAGTGTGGAGAGAAATGATTGCTTCCATTACCTTAGTTAAAAAATTATACACGAAAGACTGTCCATGTCATATATAAATCCTCATTTAATGTCAGCTTATTGTTATACAGTACAAGGTTGCTAGTGTTGACATGACCCCGTTGCTGACATGCCATGGTTGATACCAACAACAGCTGACTTCAGGTCCCCAAGTACCAGCTGTTTGATAGGTATCCTAGCATCAAGGAATTTGATTGAAGTCACTGGTTCCTGGATGGTTGTAAACTTGTTTAAGGTGAACGGATTTTGGTATACATTTTTATTACCTGTGGGGAAAAATTGCATTAGTCTGATAAAGTTGTTCTCTCTGTACTTACTGTGAGTATGTATACCATTCCTTCCATCCTGAGTATCCTAGACACTTTGTTATCTTTTTGACAGTACATTTCTTAAAACATTTCTATGCCATGTTCCCACCCAAATAGGGTCCCTAAGGTGGCAAACATCAAAACATTTGAAACGGCATTTAAAATAGGTTATATATTTAAATATTTAAACAACTCAATAAAACGTATAGACATATAAACACAACCAGGAAAGAGGGCAAATAAGAGTTGTATGGCTGATAATGCATAAGATTTTCATCAAAGTGTTTTAATGATGTATTTTTTTGAGGGTAATGGTTTTAAATGTAATTTTATTATGTGTGTTTTAATTCGTTAGCCACCTTTGTGGTCCTTGTGAGAGTAAAAAGGCAAGATATAAAATTTTGTAAATAAATACATTTTAAGACAAAAGATGTATATGGCAAGGAATCATTAATTGTCGTATAAGAAACCTCAAATACAGAGAATTTACATGAAAATTGCAAAGATGCAAAGGTGGGGGTAATCTCATCCCTTAAATTTAGTGAAACAATGTACTCTGGGATTTTCTTGAAAAAAAGAGAACATACATAAACAAATGTTTTGAAAACTGAAGATTTTCTGAAAGATAGCTTTTCCTTTTAGGGAAAAGCTTATCGTGACCAGCAGCTTGAACTTCTCCAGCAACATCTAGAAAAATATTACAGGAGCCGTGATCGAAAGTGGATTGTATTGTTTCCAGAAGGAGGTTTTCTTAGAAAAAGAAGAGAAACCAGTCAGGCATTTGCCAAGAAAAACAATTTGCCATTTCTTACACATGTTACACTGCCAAGACTGGGGGCCACACAGATTATACTGAAAAATCTGGTAGCTCAGCAAGAAAATGGAACTCTGGCAGGCGGAGATGCCACAGAAACAGGTAAGAAACATTTTAAAGGCATATAAAACCAGCTCCCAGCTGAATGTTAGTTAGTATTTCTTGAAATATTCCTTGGGCCTTGTTTTCTAAGCCAAGTTTTATAGAATTCTGAATTTGTGCTACTTTTGTAAGCATGTTCAAAATTTCCATGCACCAACAAATTCATTTGAAGTCCTTTCCAGTGTTTATCATTTTTTCTTTTTGAAAAATTGTAAAATATCTGTTCGTTCTTATAAAATTGAAACAGGAAGCAGTTAGAAGTTTTGATACCATGGAGTACACCATGCACCTATATGTGTAGGAAGGAATATAGGGGAGGGAGGGGGAAGAGGGAGAGCTTTAAGTTGACAGTGATGTATAAATTCTTTGACACATTCCCTGTTGTGTATCTGTTACAAAATTTATTGCCAGAAGGAGAATATAACACTCTCATAATTTACCTACAGTGTTACAAAATTGAAAGTTCTTTGGCATCTGCTCTCCTTAAAGCAGTTTTTCTGCAGGCATTTCCTTTCTTTTAGTTCAGAGCAATAGTATCCACTGTGCAAGGCTGTGGTCTGAAAAGGAAAATAGAAAGTGAAAGTAAAAAAACTTTAAAAAGTAAAACAGCTTAATGTCATGGCATTGAGACTGAGTTCTGGAAAATATTTGCTTCCATTACTACTGTAAAAGAGAGAGCAAACATGAGACCAGAAGCCTCTTTTTTCCTTGGCTGTATATATTTCATCTCGCTGAAGAACACTTACGTATTTATATCATCTGCCATTTTGGGGTTTTGTTAGTACAGCCAAACGCAGGCTGTTTAGAGCAGGCAAAGGCCTCCAAGGTGCTGCTGACCATAATAACAGTATCTTCCTCCTCGGGAGTTCTTCAGTACATGCACTGTGATGACGTCACTCGGAAGTGATGTCATTGTGCAGGGCACATTGTGGGTGGGGCCTCTATCATTTGAGGAAAAACCGTAAAGTGTTTCTTCAAATGATAGAGCATCCTCCCACAACATGCCCTGTGTGATGATGTCACCTCCGGGTGATGTCATTGCACTGGGCACATCGGCCCAAACATGGCACTTTGGAGGTGGTGTTCCTCCTGCCGGCCAACTCTGGGCCAGTGGAATGGGGGCCCTAAAAGTGGGCGAACCCTCCCCCCCCGGGGGGAATGGTAGCTCTATGTGGAGCCCAAGGCATGGGGTTGGTTTCATGCTTTCAGTGATTTGACATTTTCAGATGGTCTTTTCCCACCTTCACATTCTTCTTCTTTGAGTTTTGTGTGGACTGCCTCTTTTTTTCCTTATTTGTAACTGTTTGGCTATTGTCTGCTTGAAGAAAATTAGATACTTGCCATACACATGGGATTTCCAATCTCATGCTAGTTTCTAGTGTACAGTATGGGGCGGAGAGACTCTAATCCCGTTATAACTGTTTGAATCATAGACTTTGTTTTCCTTTTTCATATAACATTGCATCAGTTCACAGTTTCTCCTCTGTTGTTTTAGAACATGTTTTTACTGTGAATAGTTTATCTCTTGATAAGCTTATACACATTCAAGCTTCAGTTATCTGTATAATGATAGATTCAGGTGGTAGCCACATTGGTCCGAAGCAGCAGAACAAAGTTTGAGTCCAGCGGCACCTTTTATTATAACATTTTATTTTTAACTAAGACAAACAAACACACACAACTCTGGGGGGTTCCATTTCATCATTAAAATATCTAGTGAAGTATGTCATACAGTGTCTAAATATCTGTTTTCTATATTCAACCTTATTTTTATGTATATTCTTTTGCAATTGATTTAAAATAAGGTTCTTGTTCCTTTCAAATTGGTTATATGTCAGTCTAATTTATAAGATGGTAAAAAATTGTATAGTCTCTCTTGTCCAAAGGGTGTTGACCTTCTTCTCTTGAAAATGAGTGTAGTCTCAAATATCCAGCAAGTTTTAACCATTTTTGTGGGATTTCATCCTCTTCTTCATTCTCTGGTTTCTCCTCTTAAGTTTTAAAGTCTTAATTCTGTGTCTTTTCCCCTTATATGTAAGGAAAATAACTTCTGGATGTAGCCCTCTATATTCAATTCTTTGGATGGTTTGAGGATCCATATATTCTTTATTTTCCTCTCTCTGAAGGAAATTTCATTTTCTGCTGTAAGGATTTCTTCTCTTGTCATTCATATAGTCTCCCATTCAGTTCTCCAAGCATTTTGTTTCTTTTTGTATATGGTGAGTTCGTTCTGTAGTCCATGTCACAAAGATGTATGTCCTGTCAGTCTGCTCTTTCAGTTGGCTGATTTTCTGCTGTAGGAGTAAGTCTAGCTTAGATTGCAGAGTCCAGAGCCGTTTTCACAGCTTTTTCTACTATTGGAGTGATTGTTTCTTGTAAAACAATCTGTAACCATTGGTGTTAAAACATTTTTTCCTTCTTCTACTCCAGCCATTTTAAAATATTGAGTTAAAAACAGAGAATCTCTCCAGCTCTTTGTCAATTAAATCTCTACAATCACAAAGCTTTCTATGTTTACCCAATTACATTAAAAACAAGGAGGTTCCCAGGCAAGACAGACATTTAGTTGTAATACAGACTTATCATTTATGAGAACCTCAGAACATAATATACTTTACCATTTTCAACAAACCGCAGTATACGCAATGAGTTATAAGGAAATGACGTAGTGAAAGTTAAAAGTATATGCTTAATAGTTCATTAATTCTTCCTTCTTGATTTTAGTTTATGGTCCAGATAATAAGATGTAGATATTTATAATCCAAATTAAATGTCTTATTATGAATCCTTATGGCTTAGTTATAATTCCAGGGAAGATGGGTTTCTATTTCAATAGTATAGAGTCTGATGCTTATTACAGTATTCCAAAGATTTATAATCCATGGTATAATTTTGTAATCCAAAATATAATGATATCACATTTATAAATGTGTTTCACAGTTTTCTTTTCTTTTTTTTTTGGCCCCCCGAAGGGGATTTTTTAATTGATTATCTATAAACTACAAAGAAAAATAGGGTAGGGAGTCTAATATCTACAGGAGAAAGAAGAGTTAACCACTAAAAGCCCAAGTAGTGAAGATCATTACATAAGCTTATAAAATGTTAGTTTAATCTATTAATAATACAATGAGCTTGAATGTTTAAATCTAGCTAATACTCTCCAAAAAACGATGAAAGTTACTGTTTAAGGCAATCACAAAAGCATCAAAAATAAAGAAAAAACAGCTTCTTAAAGGTGAAATTCAGAGTTCCTCGGCATCTCATTTCTTGGCACTTCTTTTCCTCAAATCATAGTCTCTTTTGGGGGCCACAGCCCCCAATTCCGAGTCAGAGTCCTCCTCAGTAGTTGAAGAAGAGTCTTCACCGCTTTCTTTATCCTGATCTTCTTCTTTGTCGTCTTCTCTGGACCTTCCCAGTTGCTGCTTCGAACTCACTTGCTTTCTTAACAGAGTCAATTCTTTCTTTTTTGTCATTTATTCTGAAGAGTATGCCTTCGGGAACCAACCATTTGTACTGTATGTTGTTTGTCTGTAAAAACATTGCCACATCTTTAAATTTCTTCCTCCTCTTTCTAATTTCAAATGGAATGTCTTT